TGTCTGTCACTTTACTTCAATCGCAGTCTCCCGCCGCCTATCTTCGTATATCTTCGTCTCTCCATTTCCCGCCGTCTCACTTCGGTTCCCGCCGTCCCTCTTCGTCTCTTTTCGTCTCGCTTCGTATCACTCCGTTTACCTGATTACCTCACCCTCTCCCTGGTAAATACATCCTGTTGAGCAGAATCTACAGTTTCCAGTATTTTTCGTTTCGTAAAATGATAAAATACGGCGAAGATATTAAAATATGTGCTTCCATTATTCATACTTTTGAAATAGTAGTATTCAATTTATATCATCGTATCTCCGTGTTTATTGGGTCTTTTTGCATGAAACAAAGACTGGCATATAGTTTCAAGCCAGTACTTTCGACAGAAATACACTATACATCCTGTTGAGCAGGATCTACAGTTTCCAGTATTTTCCGTTTCGTAAAATGATCAAATACGGCGCAGATATTCAAATATGTGCTTCCATTTTTCATACTTTTGAAATGTATTAACTTTACATCATCGTATCTCCGTGTTTACTGGGTCTTTTTGCATGAAACAAGACTGGGATATAGTTTCAAGCCAGTACTTTCGACAGAAACACACGGCAATGTTGTCCGGACTGTTGTTTTTATGCGGCACCGGCTTGAACAGGTCATGTGATCTGATCACGCCGGCGTGACGGTCGACTCCAAAGGGTTAAGAAGCATTGCCAGATGTGAACCATGCCTCGCACAAAAGAGCTCTCAGAAGACCTACGATTAAGAATTGTTGACTTGCATAAAGCTGGAAAGGGTTACAAAAGTATCTCTAAAAGCCTTGATGGTCATCAGTCCATGGTAAGACACATTGTCTATAAATGGAGAAAGTTCAGCACTGTTGCTACTCTCCCTAGGAGTGGCCGTCCTGTAAAGATGACTGCAAGAGCACAGCGCAGAATGCTCAATGAGGTGAAGAAGAATCCTAGAGTGTCAGCTAGAGACTTAAAGAAATCTCTGGCACATGCTAACATCTCTGTTGACGAATCTACGATACGTAAAACACTGAACAAGAATGGAGTTCATGGGAGGACACCACGGAGGAAGCCACTGCTGTCCAGAAAAAAACATTGCTGCACGTTTGAAGTTTGCAAAAGAGCACCTGGATGTTCCACAGCACTACTGGCTAAATATTCTGTGGACAGATGAAACCAAAGTTGAGTTGTTTGGAAGGAACACACAACGCTATGTGTGGATAATCCAAAGGGTTCACATACTTTTTATTGCAACTGTACGTGAAGGGGCGGGACATTTCCGACACATTTCTAAGTGATTTACCAATCACAACAGAGCCAGCCAGCTAACCAATCAGAGCAGACTGGGCTCTGGTTTCAGACAAAGGGTGAAAAGAGGTGCTGCAGCACAGGCAGTATGAGAACAATAAAGAGCTTTTTGAACATTAAAGGATGTCACAGTAGAGACACTAAATACAAATATGAACCTGCAAATGAGCATCATACTGTATGTCCTCTTTAAGAACAATACTTGGGTAAATGCTCTTTATTACATTCCACCATTGCTTACTACTAACCCAGCACTATTGGATGGGCCTAGGATTTAGGTTATTCATTGCCAACAACTACACTGTGGATATATTGTGCACATGACAATACAACCTTTACATTTCAATTGGAATTTGCTGATACTGCATAGATAACTAGCAATTCCAGCTCGACTTGTTTACTGTTTTGCAACATTAGGGTAAACTAGTTATTTCTTAATTCACATATTTAAAAGTCTCTTGTAAATCCAGTGCACAAGTGAACACTGTTAATGTGTTTTTTTTATATATATATTTGATTTGTACAATTTCATATATCTGCATGTAAAGTACCACAGCAAATTTGCATATTTTCCATGTTTGGGAGTCACAATAAAATGTGGAAAATAAAACCTTAACAAAATGCTAAAAAAACATTGTAATTACCAACAAAAAGCGTATTTATTTTTTAGATCTTTGGGAATAAACCTTTTGATTTAAAAACAGAATTAAGACTAAAATTAAATAGTTTTCCACTCTCACTAAACTAAAGTTTTTATGCTGTTTCCTGAGCCGAAAACAGAGTTGTTTACTATACCATATTTAGCAACAGAGAGACCCTTCAAAAATAATAAGCACTGAAAAACACTGCATGAAGAAAACCATGTGACCCTGCAGCTTGTTTTTCCAACGCTTTCCAACAAGGGATTGGATAAGAAAAACAAATGATTATATCCACATCTCCAAACTCATCTGGTATCCTTTCAATCCAGAGCTGATGGTTGACAGGGTTTCAAAATGTAGGTGTGTGTGTGTACCTACTGTTTGTGTATTTATTTATAGGAGACATAATCTAATACCAGCGACTTAGCTGTTCCACCTGGCTGAACACCACATTGATCTGTGAATCCATGATTCTCTGTGTGTGTGTTTGTGTGTGTATGGGAATTTGGCACTATGTTAGATGTTACTTGTGTGTGTTTCAGTGGGTGATCTTTGCCTCCTGTATGCCTCTTGCCATTTGACTCACTCGTATAAAACACAGGGTGGGATAAAAGATAAATCAGTGCAGAGAAACATAGGCTAAAATGTTCAACCCTGCTCTGGTCCAACCATCAGGTCCATTAATTTTTTCTCTATTAAGCTTTAATCAACATTATTGTAAATCTTCCATATTGTTGGTCTAAATAGGATTTAAAGGGGCCCTCATATGCACATTTTCAGGGCCATATTTGTATTTTGTGCCTCTAATGTGACATGCTTAAATGTTCACAAAGTACTTAATTTTTCTCACACTTTTGTTCACCCTCTGTCTGCGGGGTGGGCAGGGGGGAGTGTGATGGACAGTAACTCTCCCTTGAGGGAACTTTGGAATTGTAGCCTTTGCAGACCATTTACGTGCACAAAAACCTTTATAACACACTACAGGAAACGGAAAATCCAAAAAGCATTATAGGGGCTTTTTATGGTACACAATCATTCAATGACATCAATCAGTTCAGTCCTTGTAACTGTCTCTTTGCTCCTACGCTGATCAACAGATGAGCATGTGGAGTACCAATGGCTGTTTATGATTCAGATAATATTTTTTGTAATTTTCGCCTTTCAACCATAACTGTCCAAGCCAATCACCATTGGAAAAAAACTATTAACTATTTCATAAAACTCAAACAATATTCTTAAAAAATGCATGCTCTGGTTTGATGTATGTGCATTATTATGGCAACTACATGTAAAATAAAACAAAGGGTCAATGCTTACTATTGTATATACAAAGTCCTCGAGCTCACAAAAGCTGGACCCAAAATTGTAATCTTCACCTGTTTTGTTTTCCATTAAACCCTTAATAATAAATGAATGGACATCCTGCCACTGCAGATTCATTTGCATGCAGATGATGCACCAATGTATCACCGTGTCTAAATCAGTGATCTACTGAATGCCTTCCACAAACTGCAGTTATCATTTTACCGACTTCAATTAACTTTGAAGGTTATGAAACGTAATATATAACTTCCCAGAGATATCCTGCCCATTGGGTAAAGAATGAATATAACATTACCCTTGAGAGGCAGGAAATACATGAGAAAGAGGTCTCTTCAGACAGATATCTTGAAATATGGTAAAATGACAAATTAACTTTCCATTCATGGATAACCATTGAAAGAAACATATTCCCTTTATGCATATTTAATTCATTTTAAGAAAGTGGCCTTGCTTCATATTGAGAACACAAATAATAATCTGTATCTGTTCTGGTTAATGGTGACATGTCATAAATTGGAAGTTGTTTTAACTCTATTCACTTCATTAATATCTGGTATTATCTTCAATATCAAACTAGGAATGTATCACTTTCATTAATGTGCTAAATTCAATAACCCTCACTGAAGATCCAGAGGAAGATTTATATGTAGCTTATCAGCTTCATAGCCATTCTTGTGCGGCCGGTGGCCAACAGGTGCAAACACGATATGATCGCCCAAACAAAGTTCAATTAGGTGGAACACAAAGCAGCTTCAGAAACGAGGCAAATATAAAAACACAAGTGTGCCAGTGTTTAGTATTTGCATCGTTTTTGAAACTGCAGCGCATTTCTCCTTGTGGAATGCATTTCCACCTGTCGTCCACCGTACTCTTGGTACCCACTTTACTTTTTATTCAAAAAGCTATCAGACCAATTCTTCAGTGCTCTAATCATTTGTTCTGAATTTGGACAAAACTGCATCTTGTACTCATCATACTGTAGGCCTGGAAAATGTTACAAGGCTCAATTTCACAACACGGCAGAAAACAAGAAGAATGGAACTCTTGTGTTAAGCTTGCTAAACAGAGTCAATGTTATTGTGATACATTGTATACGTGTGAAAGTCTATCTTGTAAAGGAGATACTGTTTCTCTATGGGGTTTCTATGGAGTCAAGGTTCACTTTATGTTGTATTTACCCTTTGGTAAGCACAACATATCCTCACCCTTTATATGTAAAATGTCCCTATACTTCAAAAATATTTTGTGCCAACTCAAAATATTATTATATAACAATATAAAGGCATAAACATGGTATACATTTACATGCAAAGGAATTTTATAAGTTTTTTGGGGCTTTTTCAATCGAACATTAATGCTATTTAGAGATGCTGTAAATACTGTGTACCTGCATTTTACAAGATGAAAACACACTTAACTACAAACAAATGAAGTAATGTGTGACCATTTGAGGGGATAAAATGTGTCATTGAAATAACCAAAAGTGGGACATTTTTATTAGACGGGATGTTCCATGACCGCCGCTGTTAATATTATAAAACAGAAAATATTAGCATTGTTAATCTGGCAAAAACTTTATTGTCAGTTGTGTCTCAAATAATCTTTGATCAAACAAAGAAAATACATTACTCTTGATGGACTGGACTCAGTTTTGAATGAAAGAAAGCTAAATAGAATAATTATACCCAACTCTAACATACACTCTAACATAACTCTTAAACTTACTTTGCCACTTTGTTGATGACAGGTGCAAAGTTGGTGGGTCCATAGAGCTGCACCGTCCTCAGGCTCTGGAAGTACGCCTCCAGAACTCCCTCTATGCCCACACAGTTTGGATTCTCAGCGTCACCGCTCTGCAATGAAAGAAAACAGCACACTAATGAAGAGAGGCGGAGGAAGTACTCAGATCTTGTACTTAGCTTAAAGTAAAAAAACACACGGATGAAATGTTACAAGTACAATTCTAGCACCCAAACTGTTACTTACCTAAAAGTATGAAAGTATTTGCATTAAAGTGCTAAAACTAAAAGTACTCAGCATGCAGAATGGCCATTTTGTAATAATAGTAATTGTATTGCTGGATTCGAATTCATGATCCATTAATGTTAACACAAATTCATAATACTGTCAGGTATCTTAATCAATAATTAAAAACCATCATACTTTATTTCATTTAATGTGTATTTTAATAATTTGAATTTGCAAAGTAACTAGCAACTAATCTTGTCATATAAATGTAGTGAGTACCATCATTTATTCAACATTTGTCTGGATTAGAAGCATGAACTAGAAAATGCATTTCTTGCAGAAAATGCGTGCGAATGCTGTAAACTGTGAACATTTATGGCTGAATTTAGCTGAAAATGCAGAAAAAGCTTAATATGTTATTAGCTGAATGGTAGCTGCTTTTAGCTAAAAAAATGCAGAAAAAGCTGAATATTTAAAAGAAAAGGTTTAAAAAAGGTATAAACAACAACATGTATAGCCTTGATGTCCTGAAATAGCTGAATAATGTAATAGTTGAATGGGTTCTGCAGCTGAAAATAGGCTGAAGGAGTTAAATATCAGATGTAAGTAGTAGTGAATTAATTTGTATTAAGATGAGAAAAGAAAGTAAAAAGGCTTGGGAAACTTTTGAACTAACTTGATGGTGAATGATCTGTCGCCATGGCAACGGCATTTGATGACATCCCATAATACTCTTAGATGTGTTGATGGCTGCATTGTTACCAAACCTGTGAAGTTTTGGGCCATTTCGAGTATTTTCACTGAAGTTATGAGAAAACCGTGTTTCATGGTGAGCATTGTGTTGCCATGGCAACGGCATTTGAAGAAATCTCAAAACTGTCACGTAGATGTCTTCACGGCTGGACTGTTACGGCCCGTCCACACAGCAGCTTTTGGCGATTTGTCCACCGCTTCCAGCGCGTCTCCGCCCATTGACTTTTAATGGGGATGACGTCACTTTCCCTCGCTTGTCGCCGAACTGCATTGTGGGGGGGCGAGGCGAAGATTTCCAGGATTTCCAGGATGTTCAGGATTCCAAAGTTGAACAATGTTCTACTTTTGAGGCTGAGCTGGAAGCGACAGCCAATCAGATCCGTTTATGCAAATCTGACATTTCAAGCGCTAGCCAATCAAACCGCGTGCAAGCTGGGAGAACCAGACCCGCAGTTCATTTCCTCATATTCCAAACGAGAAATTACGGTAGCAAATCACCCGGTTCTTTACGACCAGACTATTTACCGGGATACAAACCGGAGGAACCAGGCATGGAGGGAGGTGGCAGAGACAGTGGGTGAAACTGGTAGGTTTTCGCCTGTTTGGGGAGTTTATATATATATATATATTGCTCGCATAAAAATCCCCGTTTTTTTTTGCTTTGTATGTCGGGGGCGGGAGATTCATGTGATTGGTTGTTGGTCGTGTTGCTCGCAAAAAATCCCCAAGCTGTCAGACACGCCCAGCTCCTAGATTTTCAAGATTTGTTCAAAGCTGCTGTGTGGACGGGCCGTTAGCACACATGTGAAGTTTGCGCACTCTTTGAACATTTGCATAGGAGTTATAGTGACATCATATTTTATGGCGAGGGATGCGTTTCCATGGAAACGGCATATGGTGAGATCTCAGATTTGGCGTAGAGCTGTGGAGGCATGGACCGGTGATATACAAGTGAAGATTGGGGGACGATTGGACCGTGTCCATTGGACTTATAGCGACATCAAGTTGTATGGCGAGGGATGCGTTTCCATGGAAACGGCATATGGTGAGATCTCAGATTTGGCGTAGAGCTCTTGAGGCATGGACCGGTGATATACAAGTGAAGATTGGGGGACGATTGGACAGTGTCGATTTGACTTACAGCCTCATCGTGTTTCATGGCGAGTGGTCTGTCGCCATGGCGATGACACCCCATACTACGCTTAGATGCATTGATGGCTGCATCTTTATCAAACCTGTGAAGTTCTGGGCTGTTTGGAGTATTTTCACTGAAGCTATGAGAAAACCGTGTTTCAAGGCGAGCATTGTGTTGCCATGGCAACTGCATTTGGAGAAATCTCAAGACTGTCCCGAATCGTCTTCACAGCTGGACTGTTGAAGTCTGCTGCATGTCAGTTGGAGTGATGACATCATCGTGTTCCATTACACAGGTGTTTATATTTGAACTAACGAGCTCTGTAGAGATCACAGGTTTCCATTGTTCTGAATGAGAGATGAACCTCTTACATGTGAACGTTTTGTGGAAGAACCGTAACAGATATCTGTGAAATTTCAAAACGTGAAGCATGTCAAGGAAGTTGAGTATCTCAAGTGTAATTGTTTTGTAGTTTTGGTTTAATAATGTGGCCTTTTTGGCAGTTTAACTAAAGGTGTGCGGCTGCTACCGTGAGGAAATATCTGCCTGAAATTACAATGGGCTTCAATGGAGGAATGTTGAACGTTTTTGTCACTTAATGCCCTCAAGACGCATTTTCTTTAATATTTTTTCTTATTTTTTCTTTATTTTACAAGCTAGAAGAGGTTTTCCTAAGTTTTCCATGAAAAAATATGTCTGAGGAGTGTAGGGTTTGGGAAGTATGGCAAGTTTAAAACATTTTTGGGGGAGAATTTTGAGCTGTCCTGCACTCTGTTTTGAGATCAAAGCACTCTAGAGTTAATGAGCTGCTCCATCCACTCTAATGTAAAAATCTTAAAAATGCCTCTCTACCAAGCTCCAAACTAAATTCAATATCTCAAAAAGTTGAAAAGATATCAAAATTATTTTATACAAGTTCTATAGCTGAAGGTATTGTGATCATTTGAAAGTTGGAATGAAGTGTCTGGCTGAAATTATGTGGAAGGAGATGCATTTGGCGCAAAGTGTAGGAAAACAGGATTTGAAGGCATCTCCCATTGACTTCAATGTTAAAAAAAGAGTTTAAAAAGCTGAATATTTCAAAAAGTATGAAATATTTTGAAAAAGTTGAAGGTTTCCCATCGATTCCTGAACAGGCTGAATAGTTTAATATTTGAATGGTTTCTGTAGCCGAAAGTAAGCTGAAGTTATAGAGAGCTAAAGTATTGGCTGATTTGAAGGCTCTTCCCATTGACTTCAATGTTAAAAAAAGAGTTTAAAAAGCTGAATATTTCAAAAAGTATGAAATATTTTGAAAAAGTTGAAGGTTTCCCATCGATTCCTGAACAGGCTGAATAGTTTAATATTTGAATGGTTTCTGTAGCCGAAAGTAAGCTGAAGTTATGGAGAGCTAAAGTATTGGCTGATTTGAAGGCTCTTCCCATTGACTTCAATGTTAAAAAAAGAGTTTAAAAAGCTGAATATTTCAAAAAGTATGAAATATTTTGAAAAAGTTGAAGGTTTCCCATCGATTCCTGAACAGGCTGAATAGTTTAATATTTGAATGGTTTCTGTAGCTGAAAATAAGCTGAAGTTATGGAAAGCCAAAGTATTGGCTGAAATAATAATAACTAGAAAATGCATTTCTTGCAGAAAATGCGTGCGAATGCTGTAAACTGTGAACATTTATGGCTGAATTTAGCTGAAAATGCAGAAAAAGCTGAATATGTTATTAGCTGAATGGTAGCTGCTTTTAGCTAAAAAAATGCAGAAAAAGCTGAATATTTCAAAGAAAAGGTTTAAAAAAGGTATAAACAACAACATGTATAGCCTTGATGTCCTGAAATAGCTGAATAATGTAATAGTTGAATGGGTTCTGCAGCTGAAAATAGGCTGAAGGAGTTAAATATCAGATGTAAGTAGTAGTGAATGAATTTGTATTAAGATGAGAAAAGAAAGTAAAAAGGCTTGGGAAACTTTTGAACTAACTTGATGGTGAATGATCTGTCGCCATGGCAACGGCATTTGATGACATCCCATAATACTCTTAGATGTGTTGATGGCTGCATTGTTACCAAACCTGTGAAGTTTTGGGCCATTTCGAGTATTTTCACTGAAGTTATGAGAAAACCGTGTTTCATGGTGAGCATTGTGTTGCCATGGCAACGGCATTTGAAGAAATCTCAAAACTGTCACGTAGATGTCTTCACGGCTGGACTGTTAGCACACATGTGAAGTTTGCGCACACTTTGAACATTTGCATAGGAGTTATAGTGACATCATATTTTATGGCGAGGGATGCGTTTCCATGGAAACGGCATATGGTGAGATCTCAGATTTGGCGTAGAGCTGTGGAGGCATGGACCGGTGATATACAAGTGAAGATTGGGGGACGATTGGACCGTGTCCATTGGACTTATAGCGTCATCAAGTTGTATGGCGAGGGATGCGTTTCCATGGAAACGGCATATGGTGAGATCTCAGATTTGGCGTAGAGCTCTTGAGGCATGGACCGGTGATATACAAGTGAAGATTGGGGGACGATTGGACAGTGTCGATTTGACTTACAGCCTCATCGTGTTTCATGGCGAGTGGTCTGTCGCCAGGGCGATGACATTTGATGACACCCCATACTACGCTTAGATGCATTGATGGCTGCATCGTTATCAAACCTGTGAAGTTCTGGGCTGTTTGGAGTATTTTCACTGAAGTTATGAGAAAACCGTGTTTCAAGGCGAGCATTGTGTTGCCATGGCAACGGCATTTGGAGAAATCTCAAGACTGTCCCGAATCGTCTTCACAGCTGGACTGTTGAAGTCTGCTGCATGTCAGTTGGAGTGATGACATCATCGTGTTCCATTACACAGGTGTTTATATTTGAACTAACGAGCTCTGTAGAGATCACAGGTTTCCATTGTTCTGAATGAGAGATGAACCTCTTACATGTGAACGTTTTGTGGAAGAACCGTAACAGATATCTGTGAAATTTCAAAACGTGAAGCATGTCAAGGAAGTTGA